GCAGCAGCAGCAGCAGCAGCAGCAACAGCAACAACAGCAGCACATGCAGCACGCCTCTGCAAAGCGAAGATACGGAGACGCCTACGATGTCTCCTACTTCGTCTCTGCGGCGTGCAGCAGCAGCAGCAGCAGCAGCAGCAGATGCAGATAGCTGCTATAATGAAGCTGGTGGGCAGGGCATTGCGCTGTCTCCAGAGATAATAACATTAAACTACAGACCCTTGGAGGTTCTTTTAGGAAGCAACAGCTACACTCTGGCTGTTGATATATGGAGCGTAGGGTTCGTCTTCCTGCTGCTGCTGCTGCTGCTGTATTTGCTGCTGCTGCTGCTGCTGCTGCTGCTGCTGGTGCTGCTGCTGTATTTGCTGCTGCTGCTGCTGCTGTGTTTGCTGCTGTTTCTGCACTTGCTAGTGTTGCTGCTGAACTTGCTGCTGCTGCTGAACTTGCTGCTGCTGCTGAACTTGCCGCTATTACAGAACTTGCTGCTGCTGCTACAACTGCTGCTGCTGCTGCTGCTATTGTTGCTGTTGCTGCTTTTTTTTGCTGCAGTTTGTGGCGTTGCTGTGTATATTCGTTTATTACAATTATTTATGGTTGTATTTACTGCGTTTAGTTTTTCTCTGCAGCTCCTATTTCTTTTTATCCTATTCCTTTTTTTTGCTGCTGCTGCTGCTGCTGCTGCTGCTGCTGCTGCTGCTGCTGCTGCTGCTGCTGCTGCTGCTGCAGGTGCGTGTTAATGGAGTGTCTGTGCGGGTCTGAAGTAATCGAAGGGTCTTGCGAAGTCTCCTGCATATTTCGAATACTGCAAACTTTCGGCACTCCTTCAGAAGAAGAATGGCCAGAAATACACAAACTCCCATTCATGGTATCAACCCTAAACCCTAAACCCTAAACCCTAAACCCTAAACCCTAAACCCTAAACCCTAAACCCCAATCATAAACCTAAACTCTAGACCTTAAACCATAAGTCCTAAGCCCTAAACCATAGACCCCAAACCCTAAACCCTAAACCCTAAACCCTACACCCTAAACCATAAGCCCTAGGCCCTAAACCATAAACCCTAAACCCTAAAATTTAAACCCTAAGCCCTAAAGGCTGAACCCTAAACCCTAAGCCCTAGACCCTAAAACGTAAACCCTAAACTCTAAGCCCTAAAACCTGAACCCTGAACCCTAAACCCTAACCCCTAAACCCTAAAAGGATAGGTTAAGGTAGACTGAAGGAGAAAGGGCGTCTCGCCATAGAGAACGTGCGGGTGTTGCTTAAAGAGGAGGTTGGGGACCCAGGGTTTAGGGTTTAGGGTTTAGGGTTTGGTGCAGAGCCGGCTGCTGCCTGTCTTTCCTAAACACCCGCTTGCAATTGAAGGAGTTCTCGCAGAAAAAGGCAGAGTTGATGCACTCAGCAGCCCCGCCTGGATGGAGCTCCTCAACAAGTAAACCCTAAACCCTAAACCCTAAACCCTAAACCCTAAACCCTATACCCTAAACCCTAGAAGCTAAACGCTAAACCCTAGACCCTATTCAGTCTAGATGGACTTATTCAATTAATAAACCCTAAACCCTAAACCCTAGAACATGATCAGCCTAGGTGGAATGTGTCAATCAATAAACCCTAAACCCTAAACCCTAGAGCCTGATATGCAAATTCAAACCTGTTTATGGATGCAGAGCCTTGTACGTAGGCTTGACCCCTTAGGGTTTAGGGTTTAGGGTTTAGGGTTTGTGGTTTGCAGGCTGCTGCAAGTGAACCCCGATCACCGCATCAGCGCAGCTGAAGCTCTCCGCCTTCCTCTCTTTAAACAACTACCGCCTTCTGCTTATCTCTAATTAATAATAATAATAATAATAATAATAATAATAATAATAATTAATAAAAAGAAACAATTGAACAACTCCAAACAAAAACAAAAGAAAGGAGTGCAGTAGAACTGTTATTGACAAATCCTTGACTTCTTTTGTCGCTAAGCCCTAAACCCTAAACCCTAAACCCTAAACCCTAAACACAAAACCCCTCTTCCTCCAGCGCTTCTGGCACCCCAGAGACAAAATGAGGGTTTGAGGAGGGTTTAGGGTTTAGGGGGCGTAGGGTCTACATGAAGTATAGGGTAAAGCATTTAAATTAACATATGGTTTAGGGTTTAGGGTTTTATATTGGTGCCTGAGGCTCCTCTCTAAACCCTAGGGTTTGTTTAAGTGGGCAAAACGTTTCGAGTTGACTCGCTTCCCGTGGCATAGGGTTTAGGGTTTGAGAAGGGTTTAGGGTTTGAGAAGGGTTTAGGGTTTGAGAAGGGTTTAGGGTCTAAGGAGGGTTTGGGATTTAATAAGGGTTTAGGATTTAATGAGGGTTTAGGGTTTGAGGAGAGTTTAGGGCTTTGAGGAGGGGCTAGGGTTTGAAAAGGGTTTAGGGTTTGAAAAGGGTTTAGGGTTTAGGGTTTGTAGTGGGCCCATGAGCGCAAACAAAGCACATCAAAAACCGCGAATTAAAAACGAGAGACAGAAGAAAATAAATCCGCAAGGAAAAGCATTAAAAGGGTTTAGGGTTTAGGGCTTGGGGTATTCAAAGAAAAGTCTTCAGGTGTATATACACCTCAAACTTATTAACTGCAATTACAACTAGGGCATATCTACATCTATTTCTGACTTAACCATCACAGGGTCTCCTGGAATCAAAGGGGCCTGAAAAACAAACACTCAAACCCTAAACCCTAAACCCTAAACCCTAAACCCTGAAGAAAGAGGACTTGTTACGTATGCATGGATTAAATAAATAAATAAATACATATATATATTATATTATATATTATATTACTTTATGTGTGTTATTAATGCAATTACTGAGTGTTATTTAAGCTTATTGATATATATATATATATATATATATATATATTTATCTTTTATTTGAGGTGCCTATACACCGCATTTACCCCTGGGCATTGCTGCTCCCTCATTTCAAAGACGCGGAAGAACGAAGGAGAAATTAATAAACAAAACAACATCCGGCCTTGGGTCTGAAAATAAATAAATAAATAAATATATAAATAAATAAATTAATTAATTAATTAATTAATTAATTAGTTAATAGATGAATGCAGATAAATAAATAAATAGATAGAAAAACAAACAGATTAATGAATAAATAAATTAAAAAACGATAAAATGGATCAGTAAATGTACAAATAAATAAACAAACAAACTCATAAATAAATGAATAGATAAATAGACACATCTATATAAATATAAATAAATAAATATATATATATATATACACATATATATATACATATATATATATATATATATATATTATATGAACAGAGAAATAAACATAATTGGAGAATACACGAGAGAAAATCAATGAAAAAACAAATCGATATAAAAACCCTACACCCTAAACCCAAACTAAACCCTAAACCCCAAACCCTAAACCCTAAACCCTAAACCCTAAACCCTAAACCCTAAAAACTTATTCATGCACTTTTAACCACAATCCATAAGCCACAAACCGTAAACACTAAACCCGAATTTCTAAAACCCTAAACCCTAAACCCTAAACCCTAAACCCTAGAGGCTGACCAAGTCGTTGACGCATGCTTGTTTGGTGAGGACTTCGCTTTTGTTTTGCAGTCTGTCTAAAACTTCTAACCTCACCGAACCCTCGCATAAAACCCAAGCCGGAAAACCCCGGCTAGCCAGACAAGCAGCAGTTCCCTGCAACAAAACCCTAAACCCTAAACCCTAAACCCTAAACCCTAAACCCTTAACCCTAAACCCTAAACCCTTTTGGGTGAGAGGCATTGAATAAGTGCTATGTACGAGGGAATAAACGAAGCGTAGACGCGCCCTCGGCCGTCACAGGACCACGAAAACCCATAAACCCTAAACCCTAAACCCTAAACCCTAAACCCTCACCTCCCAGAACTCCGCAAGGTCAGCTGCGCTGAAATATTTTTTTCCATCTACGTCCAGCGAGTCGAACAAAAAATTCAAAGAGGCTCGAATACACTGCAGCCACACACCACCCTAAACCCTAAACCCTAAACCCTAATCACTAAACCCTAAGCACTAAACCCTAAACACTAAACACTAAACCCTGAACCGTAATCCCTTAATCCTAAAACCCTAAACCCTTATCTTTTAATCCTAACCCTTGAACCCTAAACCCTAAACCCTAATCTCTTAACCCTATCCCTAACCCCTAAACCCTAAACCCTAAACCCTAAACCCTTACAGAAGGAGCAACAATGCGGGCTTTAGAGGGTACGGGGCTCCAAACAGCGGCGCAGTAATCCAAAGACGCGAGGAGACAAATCAATTCATCTGCTGACTGCAAACAAAATATAAAAAAAGTATTAAAGTATAGATAAATATATATATATATATATGTATACCTACGTGCAGAAGCAACAGCATCAGCATCAGCAGCAGCATTAGCATCAGCAGCATCAGCAGCAGCAGCAGCAACAAGAGCAGCTGCCGCAGCAGGTGAACATCCTACCAAGCACAAAACCTCCTCCTCTTCCTCCTGCTCTTGTTCTTGCTGCTGCTGCTGTTGCTGCTGTTGCTGCTGCTGCTGCTGCTGCTGTTGGGGTTTAAATGCATCCCAGAGTAGTTCATTGGGTTGTGCATTTCGTTTGATTGTTTTATTTGCTTTTGAAGTAAAAAGATACTTTAAAAAGAAAGAAGAAACATCAAATGTGAGGGAACAAACAGCAACAGCCAGCGCTTCAAGCAGCTCCTTCAGCGTCTCTTCACAGCAGCAAAAGCTGTTCTCTCGTAGAAAGTCTGCGCAACAAACAAACAAACAAACATTTATTTAATATATTTGCTCAGGGTTTGCTTGGTTATATCGTTTTAAGACTATGGTGAGGATTAAAAGAATAAAAAGATATACACAACTATATATATTTATATATATTTATATATATAAATATATATAAATATATATATATTTATATATTACCTAAAAGAGATATAACGAGATGTATATGCATCTAAAAGAGACGAAAGGTGTATACATATATACACACATATATATATATATATATATAAACATATATACATATATATATGCATATATACATATATACATATATATATATATATACACCTAAAAGAAACACATCGAGGTGCCTATACACCGCAAAGAGACAAAAGA